TCTTATAACCGTCAAAGAATTTTTCTTTACCTCGTGTGATCCTCCATTTCTTTTCGAGATATAACGTCCAGGGGCAAGTACTTGAGTGTTTCCAGCATTCCAAACATTCCATTGCTATACTATAAATTCTCTACTCAATTTTTGTCAATGAAAAGATAATGTTACACAGTACCGACTTACCTGCTGTCCCATCCTTCGTAGTTCCCACCTTGTATCCGCTAAACATTCGATTGTTTGAAGCACTACCTGGTAAATTAAACAGCAGAGGCAAATTTTAAAAATATTCCGGTAACAATGATTTAAATTACTAGAGAGGAAAAACCGCTTTCGACGTAAAGCAAAGTCATCAAGTCATTATCAATGACTATTTTCCGTTTTCATGCACAAGGAAGGAAAAAGGAAATTGCCAACGATAACTAACTTAATGACGTCTTCCTTAAAGCGGCATAGTTTTTAATTGAAACTGACTCATTAAAAAAGAGGTGGCAGAAAATTAAGAACTAGGGAAACGCCTTATTTGTAAATAGCAAGTAAGCAACCTATTGAAAAAGGAATTCACATCATATGTAACCACGCAATGCACTGAAAGTTAAAAGTACAGGACTCTTAAAAACGATGCCTTCTTACTTGAGATAAAACTGACGACAAAGTCCCGATCTGAAGAACATTTGTCCACTGAGGCACGTCGTCTCTGAAAGTTCAGAAAACACAGTGTAACATGTACAGAGGTTTGATTCAAAATACTGCTACTAGTGTTCAAAATGATCAGTAAGGAAAGTGAAACTCACTCCAATGTGGATAAACTCAGTGACACATTGTTAGATGGCTCGTCTCCTAAATGAAAAACAGAAAATGCTGCCAATGAAATAAAAAGTGTCCGAAGACTATTACCAAACAGGTTTACTTGCAATCGAGTGCAAATAAACGTTACATTTGTAAGCTCTCAGCCGATCTAAATGGAGTAACGTTTTCAATCGAACGTCACAGTCACTAGCTTTCTGTCATTATCTACGCTTACGTTACAACAAAGATGTCAACACCCTACATGCAATAACAT